TAAATAATACTATTAATATATTAGAATTTATAATATATTAATAAACCACAAGTGTTATTTCTCTCATTTAGTCTATCCAAATGCATGATGCCATGCAACCCAAATGGACCATGTCGGGTCGGGTCAAGTACATACCAGAAATAGTTATGGACTTAGACACCTTATCCAACAGTCTCCCACTTGGATAAGTCTAATAACTATAACTGCAATACTTCAGGAACCGATCGCAATCGTAGCTCTTTCAAGGTCTCTCGGAACTGAAAAGATGATGATACGCCATTTAAGATAAGTGATCATATAATCCTCTGTTCTAGATATCAGCCGGACAAATACATGGAACAATGTCTTACTTATTGTCCTGCAGTTTGTTTCCCGATTTCCGATTTGTTTGACAAAGAACTTAATTGAACACATCAAGTTAGTTCTGACCGGGCCCGGTACATAGGTCAAAACAAAATCATCGAGGGGCCCAGATATCAGCTTCTAATCCAAGAAGGAACAGATAAACTTCGACTCATATGTTTGTTCTACTACTCATTGAATTATACACAAGAGCACGTTTTATAACATCGAGTTACCAATGCGTTTTCGTACAATCAATGCATAACCAACTCATAAGTAACAAATCATATATCTAGGTTTGAAGACTTATATGATATTACCGTCTCACGATCACTCGAGATAAATTCCATGAAGTGATTCCAGTGAGCGTGGGTTGAGTCCAATGCTCAGAACTTATGAGCACTCATGAGTGTTGTAGCCATGTCCAACAACTTAGACCTCTGCAACCAATCATGACAGTCTTGATTCATACCTACTTCCGACATATGACCGACTGTGGAGGTTCGAATAATATGATATACCAAACATAATTATTCTGGAAGTCAAAACATGCAAAAGAAATATAGTAAACGATCGACAAGAGATAGCAACACTTTACTCATAAATAAAACACCTTTTATTCATCATCTAATGTCAATTACACTTTACAAATTTCAAGGTTATCTAACTACTAAATCTAATATCATCGTTCAGCCCTATGCTTCGAGCATGCTGGAGATGCTTAACCCGAGTCAGTCCCTTCGTGAGGGGATATGCTGGATTCTCATCCGATGATACCCTCTTTGCCACGATGAGTCCTTCTTCTATTCGATGTCTGATGAAATGGTATTTTCTGTCGATGTGTCTGGATCTCCCGTGATCCCTTGGTTCCTTGGCTAAGGCAACTGCACTTTCACTATCACAGAAAATTTCCATTGGCTCTTTAATAGCTGGTACAACTCCAAGGTCTCCAATGAAGTTCTTCAGCCATATCGCCTCCTTTGCTGCCTCGCTAGCTGCTATATACTCTGATTCGCAAGTTGAATCAGCCACTGTCTCTTGCTTGGAACTCTTCCAAGAAATTGCTCCTCCGTTTAAGGTAAAGACCCAGCCTGACTGAGAGCGGAAATTATCCCTATCAGTCTAAAAGCTAGCATCACTATACCCTACAACTCTCAAGTCTTCACTCCCACCGAGGGTAAGGACCCAGTCCTTAGTCCTCCGTAGGTACTTGAGGATATTCTTTACCGCAGTCCAGTGTGCCTTGCCAGGGTTCCCCTGATACCTGCTAACCATGCTCAAAGCAAAGGCTACATCAGGTCGAGTACACGTCATAGCATACATGATCGATCCTACAGCCGAAACATAAGGTATTCGACTCATTTCTACTATCTCAGCCTCAGTACTAGGGCTTTGTGTCTTACTCAATCTGGCGTTACTCTGGATGGGTAACTCTCCTTTCTTGGAGTCCTGCATGCCGAATCTCTTCAGCACCTTATCCAAGTAGGTACTCTGACTAAGTCCAATTAGTCTTTCACTCCGGTCTCTCAAGATCCTTATCCCTAGAATATAGGCAGCTTCTCCTAGGTCCTTCATAGAGAAACACTTCCCAAGCCAGGAATTAACTTCCTGCAGAGTTGGGATGTCATTTCCTATGAGTAGTATGTCATCCACATACAATACCAAAAAGCTAACTATACCCCCACTAGCCTTGACATATACACAAGATTCATCTTCACTCCTAGAAAAGCCAAATTCTTTGACTTTCTCATCAAAGCAAAGATTCCATCTGCGAGGTGCTTGCTTTAACCCATAAATGGATTTCTCAAGCTTACACACTCTATTAGGGTACTCTGTATTGACAAAACCCTCTGGCTGACTCATGTAAACATCCTCAGCCAACTTTCCATTAAGGAAAGCGGTTTTGACATCCATTTGCCATATTTCATAGTCATGACATGCAGCTATGGCTAACAGAACCCTAATAGACTTAATCTTGGCCACTGGAGAAAAGGTCTCATCATAATCAACTCCCGGAGTTTGTGAGAAACCCTTTGCAACCAGTCGTGCCTTATAAGTGTGTACATTACCATCTATGTCGGTCTTCTTCTTGAAGATCCATTTGCACCCTACAGTCTTACGACCTGGTACATTCTCAACCAAGTTCCAAACTTGATTGTCATACATGGACTGTATCTCGCTGTCCATTGCCTCTTTCCACTTGGCTGACTCAGGGCCTGCCATGGCTTCCGTGTAACTGTTAGGTTCATCCAGACCTATCAGTGTCTCATCACTGATAAGTGTATCACCTTCCGCAGTAATATGGAATCCATAGTAATGCTCAGGTGCATTCCTAACCCATTGTGGAACGCCTCAGAGGTACAGACTTGTCAATTGGCTCAACAGGAGTTTCCTCCTCAAGTTGAGTGCTAGGGTTTGAAGTTCCTTCACCACTTGACTCTTGAATTTCTTCAAGGTCAACTTGCCTCCCACTGTCTCCTTGGCTTATGAACTCTCTCTCTCTCGAAAGAAAGCCCTCCTAGCTACAAAGACCACATTCTCACTAGGTCTGTAGAAGAGGTAACCAAAGGATTTCTGTGGGTAGCCGATGAAAATACACCTCTCACTTCGAGGTTCGAGCTTATCATGAGTCTCGCGTCTCACGAAAGCCTCGCAACCCCAAATCTTAATGTGGTCTAGTTTGGGTACTTTACCAGTCCACATCTCATGAGGAGTTTTGGCAACTTTCTTTGTGGGAACTAGATTAAGGATATGGGCGGCAGTCTCTAAGGCATACCCCCCAAAATGAGATTGGTAGCGAAGCTCGACTCATCATGGAACGAACCATATCCAACAAGGTTCGATTACGCCTCTCAGCTACACCATTCAACTGCGGTGTCCTGGGAGGTGTCAATTGTGAGACAATCCCACATTCCCTAAGATAGTCGAGGAACTCTGAACTAAGATACTCATCACCTCGATCGGATCGAAGCATCTTAATGTTCCTGCCCAATTGATTCTCGACTTCCTGTTTAAACTCTTTAAACCTCTCAAAAGTCTCTGACTTATGCTTGATTAAGTAGACATATCCATATCTACTGTAATCATCAGTAAAAGTCAAATAATAACGATTAGCATCCCTTGTGGCATGTTTGAAGGGCCCACACACATCCGTGTGTATAAGATCCAACAAACCTTCACCCCTCTCACAAGAACCTGTGAAGGGTGACTTTGTCATTTTTCCAAGTAAGCATGATTCGCAACTATCATCTGAGGGCAAGTTTTGTAAACTATCATCTGAGGGTATAAGATCCAACTATCATCTGAGGGTTGGAACTAAAGTTTTAATCAAGACTTTACTTGTTCCAAAACTTGAGGGCAAGTTTTGTAAACTTCCAAAACTTTTCATTTCTTATAACTTATGAATTAATTGAGTAATAAAAATGAAGACTCTTCATTTTTATAACTCTTGTGTTCTTTTAATGGATTTAATAAAAGTGAGACTTTTGGTTTTCCATAACTTGAGGACAAGTTATGGACTCCATTAAAACACATTATGATCATGAATTAAACTACCATGAAGGTTACAAACAATTCCTATGATCATCTAATCTTCATAAGTTCAAGAACATGAATATGAACACTTTCAAGAATCAAAAATTACACTTAAAAAAACTTGTAATTTTGATAATTGCCATTGTAAATGGATTAGTATAAACATTACACCATCTAAAACAAGTTTTAAAACACCAAAACAGTTTAGGGTAATGTTTCTAGTCCATTTCCAGCAACAAATGTCGAAATTCTGAAAACTGCAGCCTCTACTCGTCGAGTGCAAGAACAGACTCGACGAGTAACTTGCACAAAAAAAAACAACAAACAAACCTGGCTCTGATACCACTGATGGTTTTTGAGCATTCTAACACTTCCTAAGTGTACATGCAACCCTAATAACCTTGGATCTATGTTTGTCTAATTATCATGCAAAGTTGAATTCCAAGGTTATATTCCTATCTAGCATACATGAGGAACATTTTTAACTTGAATGAAAGATAGAATAACTTACCTTGTTGTTGATTATGATCCTTGAAACCTTGTGAGCCTAGCACCCCAAGTGTGATGCCTCAAATGCTTCACACAACACCAAATGCAAAGGAGTAAACTTTGAGAGAATCTTACACTTGCAAAATCGGCTCTAGCCCTCTTGTTTCTTAGTGTCGCCGATTTTGGTGGAGAACATGTTGCTTATATAGTGTGTCACATCTAGGGTTACACCATGTAAACCCTAATGTGGCATGACTCTTCATTTCCATGACCCATGGGTTTGTAACTCCCATGGAGCCTCCATGGAGCATTCAATGGGTTTAACCCAACTTGATTATCCATGGAGCCTTTTAGCACACTATACAAGTTATGGATGATTTACATGATCAACCCATATATTTAACTAGTCATCTTTTGATCACTTAATTAATCCTAGATTAATTCTTGATCAATACTAATTAAATAATACTATTAATATATTAGAATTTATAATATATTAATAAACCACAAGTGTTATTTCTCTCATTTAGTCTATCCAAATGCATGATGCCATGCAACCCAAATGGACCATGTCGGGTCGGGTCAAGTACATACCAGAAATAGTTATGGACTTAGACACCTTATCCAACAACGACATGTCTGTAGTGGCGTCCAAAGTGGACTACTGCATGCTAGAGCGATATAGTCATGAATATCACCTTTCGCATGTACTTGGTTTCCAAGTTCCGTCTTCATCTTCTTCTGTTCTTGATGCCCCACCTGGTAAGGTTGGATTTTACCTTCGACATCTTGTGTGTGGGTTACGGTTACCCCCGTCTCGCTTCTTTTTAGAGGTTCTTTGTTATTACAAAGTTCATCTTGTCAAGTTATATGTATGTCATGCAGGTTTGTCTAGCCTTTTTACTGGATTTATCATGAGTTCCTTTGTCTATTCTTTCCCTGGTTGTTGGTAATATCCTGCTATAAATGCTACCTCTAGGTGTTTTCTCTATGCTAATTTATTGTTATAGATGGGAGTAAATGTTCCTTTCAGCTGACATCTTATTTGGTCGGTGATATCCCACCCAAGTCCATAGTGGTGGGTGACGTCGTTCTTGACCGAAATGTGGATCAGATGAATGTGACACCCGAATCGCCCCCTGTGCTCCTAGGTTTTGGGCCGAATGCTTTCACTATCGAGCAATTGTTGGACACATCTAGCCCTATTATTGGTTCTGTACAGGTCGGTTATTCTAGCTCCACAAGAGTTGTGCCCCCCGTAGGTGTCTCTTCCAGTCGAAAATGTAGGCTAGTCCTTTCGTCTGATCAATTTGATCAGTTTCTCCAGGAGATTTCCCATGTGGGCCCTCAATGCGTCTCTCCCTTGTCCTCTGGTTGTGTGGCCCCCAAGCCAGTTGATATGTAAATGGATTGGCGTGCGTCACGTATTTACATTTATGATGTGTGTTGTTCGTGATTACTTTGTTCTGTTAACACCGTTTTCCCAACATCGTAGGTGGATTTCCTTCTTGTGTATTGCTTGAGGAAGAGTTGAACGAAGCATGCCTGTTTATACCTTGTGCGGAAAAAATTATCTTCGCCGTACTCGGGCGAGATCTCAAATTTTTTGATGGGTTATTAACTTTGCGAGACCGGTTTTTAGCCGCAAGGGTGAATGTACGTGTTGTCGAAGGCATGAAGCTTGCAAGAGAGGAAATGTTGGTGAAAGTGGGAGAGATGTATGCTGACTTATCAATACGTTACCGGGATGCTGCGGCCAAGGTAACTTCTCTAGAAAATCAAGGGACGCTCGTCCAGGCGAAGTATGAATCTTGTCTCCAGGAGAACGGCGTGTTGTGTTCTCATCTCCTTAACAAGTCTTGATTGTGTAGGATATGTGAGTCGGTTATGCTCTTGTTTTTGTAGGCAAGCCTGAACTTGGTGTTTCGCTTCTATGCCTAACCAATTTTGATTTTAGGTAGATATCTGGGTTGATACTTGGTGCCAACTAACATGTTTTTTGGGTATTTTGGTGTGTAATGGATATATTGGTGTAGTCGGCAGACCAAGCTATATAGTTTGAAGAATAAGTGTATTCTTGGGCTAAACGGGTAGCCTTTTTTCGAGTAATGATACTCGATGCATGCATAAATGTAGTCGGTGTTGGATGAAATAGGGTTTATGTTGGAGATCTGGATACCTCTTGGATCGTGTGAACACTTTCCGAACTGATATTTACATAATGAAAATATCGAAACAATTGAATTTCCACTTAGTATCATACACTTGCAAATACTCGAGAATCAGGGTGTTCTAAGAATTGAACCCATCAACCCATTTGAATACCAGAATGTAAAATACATACTAGTTTATAGAATTTCTAGCAAAATACAACTTGACGCTATTATAAAGCCGTGTGTCCCAATCCTCTCATGATCGTATCAAGGTCAAGTCCACAACCTCTTGAAATGCGACTACACTTCACAATCACGTAGGTAACTCCTTTCCATGTATCTGGGATGAATACTTCATGTGTTCCAATCTATAAGTATGAGCTTTCCACATTGAATTCAACTCCTAACATTATCTTAGGAGGGAATTAGGTGTCTCATCATTATAGAATTAAATGGACTTTAATCTCATCTCGATCACATACTTGTGCACTAGTCTCTTGTCAGACCTTTAATCAAGTGATCTGCCAAATTTTGTTGCGATTTCACAAACTCAACCGAAATCACACCGTTCATGATTAATTCTCTAATCATACTATGTCTAACACCTAGGTGTCTAGACTTGCCATTATACACCTGGTTGTATGCCTTAGCCAAAGCATCTGCACTATTATAAAGGATAGAAATAGGTGCTATCGGTTTAGACCACAAAGGAATCTCATAGACTAAATTCCTTAGGCACTCTTCTTCTTTACCAGCACCTGCTAACGCAACAAACTCATATTCCATTGTTGAGTTTGTAATGCAAGATTGCTTCTTGGAAGCCCAAGAAATGGCACCTCCCCCAAGCAAGAATATCCAACCAGAAGTTGAGGAATGGTCCTCCATGTTGGTTATCCAACTTGCATGAATGACCTTCTAAAACCGAAGGACTCCCCAAGTAACTCAAAGCATAATTCATGGTTCCTTTGAGATACTTAAACACTCTATTCACTGCTTGCCAACGTTGAGCACTAGGATTACTAGTGTACCTGCTCAACTTTCCTACAACAAAAGCAATATCAGGCCTGGTACTTGTCATGGCATACATCAAGCTACCAATATGTGACATCCCCTAATTTCTCGGCCAGAAAAGACCGATTTAATTTATGCTTTTTAAAATAAAATCAGAGAAAATCTTTTTAAAAGATGTTGCGGAATTGGTCCCCAAAACAAAACATGATAAAAGTTTATCAAAACCTTCTTTAAGAAATGTATAGTTTCATTTCATATCAAAACCTGCTTGCTCGTGGGCTCGCACGTTGTTGCGCATGCGAGGGGCTCGTTGTCCTCTTCTAAGTGGACCGAGGTCTAGTCCGAAGTAGGGTGGGTTCGTGGCTCATTACGAGGCTCGGACGCACGAGGGAAGGGGCACGCGTCACGCTTCTACTGGACCGCTTCGGATCAGCTCTCCTGTTCGGATGACTCAGCAGCATTTCGGACACGTGACTCGCATGACTCACGAATTTCGGACACGTGGCACTCATACAGCGAAGGTGACGTGGCCGAAGCCACCTATGCGAAATTTCTCGGTTTTCGCGCCAAAACTTCTAAAATCCATAACTTTCGCATACGAGCTCCGTTTTTGACGTTCTTTATATGCACGCGTAGGTAAAATTACGCTCTACAACTTTCGTTTAGACTTCGTTGGCTAATTTTGAATTTAATTTTTATATTATTATTTTTAACAGACCGAGACAGGAAATCCGTTAAAAATTCATAACTTCTTCATCTGACGTCCGTTTTCGTCTGTCTTTTTACTGTTGTGCTACAATTGACGAGACCTTCGATTCTCGTTTAGGTCGTGTCGGCTAAAAATCACTCGATCTAAAATTCAAGTTTTTAGCTGTCTACTGCTAAGCTGAAACTTAGAAAAATCATAACTTCCTCATACGAAGTCAGATTTGGGCGTTCTTTTTATACCTACTCTCGGTTTAACGAACACTACGACTTTCGTTTAGATTACTAAGGACAAAAAGTAGTTTATCAAAAACTCACTTTTTACGACATTTCGCCCCGTGCCGGTTTTGTCGCGAAACTTCGACAGGTAATAACTTCTTCGTTATAACTCGGATTTCGGCATTCTTTATATATCTGTAATCCTTGTCACGCCCACTACAAGTTTCTTAATAGATATCGGTTTTATCTAATATTTATTTTTGACGCTCATTTTTATTCTTAATTAATTAAACCCTAATAATTAAGCATAAAACACATAATTCACATAATATTCACATAATTCCTTTTCATTTCTTCAAAATGAGTTACAAAGGTTAACCTAGACTATAATGTCAATATTAATGCCTAGCCTAGAAACACGGGCATTACAATTCTCTCCCCCTTAGGATGATTACGTCCCGGGAATCACACATCAGCAAACAAATGCGGGTAGCGACTCATCATGTCACTCTCCGTTTTCCAGGTGAGATTTGGCCCATTCGTATGTTTCCAACGCACAAGCACTAAATCGACCATCTTGCGTCTCAGCTTCTTAGTCTTACGGTCAACGATTGCCTCAGGTTCTTCGATCAACCTCTTGTTTTCATCCAACCTTAATTCAGAAATGGGAATTATGTCGGGCACATCTCCCGTGAACTTTCTCAAATAACACACATGAAATGTGTTATGAATACCCTCCAGTTCTTCCGGTAATTCTAGCTTGTAAGCTTGATTCCCGATCCTCTGAAGAACTTTAAATGGTCCAATAAACCTTGGACTCAACTTTCCTCTTTTACCAAATCTTATAAGTCCCTTCCACGACGAGACTTTAAGTAAAACCGAATCTCCAACTTCGAAGGATATCGGTTGTCTTTTCTTGTCAGCATAACTCTTTTTTCGATCTTGAGCAGCTAACATCCTTTCCCTTATCACTTTCAACTTTTCAGCAGTTTGATGGACTATTTCAGGTCCCATAAACTGCTTCTCCCCAGCTTCCACCCAACATGACGGCGTTCGACACTTTTCTCCATACAAAGCGTGATAAGGTGCCATCTTGATGCTTGAGTGGAAACTATTATTATAGGAAAATTCTACTAGAGGTAAATGTTCATCCCAGTTACCTTGGAATTCTAGGGTACATGCTCTCACCATATCCTCCAATGTTTGAATCATTCGTTCGCTCTGACCATCAGTTTGCGGATGGTAAGCTATACTCAAACACAACCTGGTACCCAATTCCTCTTGTAGACTTCTCCAAAACCTTGAGGTAAAATGGCTGTCACGATCGGATACAATCGTTAACGGAACACCGTGTAGCCTCACAATTTCCTTCACATAAGAATTCGCAAGTTTATCCATAGACCATTTCTCGTTAGCGGCTATGAAATGCGTACTCTTCGTGAAGCGATCAACGACCACCCAAATCATGTCGTGACCGTTCCTTGTTCTGGGCAGTTTAGTCACAAAATCCATAGTGATATCTTCCCATTTACCCATGGGTACAGGTAAAGGTTCTAAACTCCCATACGGTTTCTGATGTTGTGCCTTAACCCTAGCACAAGTTACACACTTGGCCACATACTTAGCAACATTGAGCTTCATCGTCGGCCACCAGTAATAGGGTTTTAGGTACCTATACATTTTCGTACTGCCGGGATGAATCGAGTACATGGTCTTGTGAGCTTCTTCCATCAGAAGATCTCTTACTCCTCCCGTCTTAGGTACCCAAATCCTATCTTTGAATACCTTCAATCCCTGACCGTTTATATCAAACACCAACGTTTTACTCAAACGTTCCTCCTTCCGGTCATTTTTCTCTAAAGCTTCCTCTTGTGCTTTCTTTATACTTTCCACAATTGTAGAGACAACTTCAATTCTCAACGCTCTTGGCCTTTTCTTTTCAAGATTTACCTTCCGACTGAGAGCATCAGCAACAACATTTGCTTTACCAGGGCGGTAAAGTATCTCACAGTCGTAATCCTTGAGTAACTCTAGCCAGCGCCGTTGCCTCATGTTCAATTCCTTCTGATTAAAGAGATATTGAAGACTCTTATGATCAGTGAAAAGTTTCCATTTAGTACCATAAAGATAGTGCCTCCATATCTTTAAGGCGAATATTACCGCTGCCAACTCCATATCATGAGTGGGGTAGTTCTTTTCATGCTCTTTCAATTGCCTCGATGCATATGTTATCACCTTATCCCTTTGGGTCAGAACACAACCTAACCCAACTCCAGAGGCATCACTATAGACTGCGAAGTCATCAACTCCTTCAGGTAACGAAAGAATTGGTGCTTCACACAATCTCTTCTTCAACTTCTCAAAGGCTTCCTTATGCTTCTCATTCCAAGCATAAGTAGCTCCTTTGTGGGTCAAAGCTGTTAATGGAGTAGCAATCGAAGAAAATCCTTGGATAAATCTTCGATAATATCCAGCTAATCCTAAAAAGCTTCTAATCTCCATAGGACTTTTTGGTTGTTCCCACTTCATCACAACTTCAATCTTTGCTGGGTCAACCATTATTCCTTTTTGGTTAACCACATGACCTAAAAATTGGACTTCTTGAATCCAAAATTCACATTTGGAGAACTTTGAATACAACTTCTCCTTCTTCAGGACTTCTAGCACCTCACGCAGATGCTTTTCATGCTCCTGCTTGCTCTTCGAATAAATCAAGATATCGTCTATGAATACTATCACGGATTTATCAAGGTATGGTTTACAAACCCTGTTCATCAAATCCAAGAAAGCTGTTGGGGCATTGGTTAATCCGAACGACATAACCAAAAATTCATAGTGTCCATATCTTGTTCTAAACGCAGTCTTCTCGATATCATACTCTCTCATCTTCAGTTGATGGTATCCCGACCTAAGATCGATCTTAGAGAAATAGCTCGAACCTTGCAATTGGTCGAACAGGTCATCGATCCTCGGCAACGGGTACTTGTTCTTTATCGTCGCTTTATTCAGCTCTCTGTAATCGATGCACATTCTCATGCTCCCGTCTTTCTTCTTTACAAACAACACAGGGGCTCCCCAGGGTGATGAACTAGGTCGAATGAAACCTTTGTCCAATAACTCCTGAAGTTGTGTCATAAGTTCTTTCATCTCTGTTGGTGCGAATCGATACGGTGCTTTTGCTATCGGCGTCGTTCCTGGTAACAAGTCGATACGAAATTCTACTTGTCGATCAGGGGGTAATCCGGGAAGATCTTCGGGAAAGACTTCTGGATAATCACACACCACCGGTATATTCTGCACCTCCTTCTTCTCCTTCTTAGCATCGCCCACGAACGCTAGATATGATGTACATCCCTTGGCCAAACACTTTTTGGCTTTCATTAGGGAAATGATTCCAGAGTTTACTCTGCGTTTGTCTCCATACACCATAAACGACTCTCTCCCTGGCGGGTTTACTTTTACTATCTTCTTCCTACACAATATTTCGGCATCATTGGCACTAAGCCAATCCATTCCTAAGACTATGTCGAATCCATTTAACTCGATAGGCAATAATTCCTCGTGGAACTTATTCCCATCCAAGTCAATGAGGATATTTTTCATACGATGGCTAACAGGTACAAACTTGCCACTAGCAATCTCGACTAATAAGGCATTAACTAGTCTATCTACAGGCAAAGCTAGTTTTCTACCAAATTCATGCGATATAAAGGAGTAATTGGCTCCAGAATCAAACAAAATTTGGGCAGGTAATTCGTTTACGAGAAAGGTACCTGAAGCGACATCGGTTTCTTCTTTCGCGGCTTCAAGTGTCATCTGAAAGGCTCTCGCCTTCGGCTTTGGTGGTAGATTGGGGGTTTGCTGCATCCTTCCTCTTCGGACAGTCTTTAAAAACATGCCCTTCTTCATGGCACTCAAAACATACCCTCTTGTCGGACGGACACACGTTGGCATAATGCCCAGTCTTTCCACATTTGAAGCAAGTCACCCCCTCACTACATTTCCCAGAGTGCTTTTTCTTGCACTTCTCACACCACTTCACTTCACCTCCTCCTCCAAACTTCTTGGACTTTGAAAATTTGCTTTTCTTGTTGGAACCTGAAGTTCCTTCAAATTTTCTCTTTTCACCAACTTGTGCCCTCTCCAGACCCTTCTCTCTAATCTGAATCTCCACATTCTTAGCAGCCCAGATGGCGACTTTCAAAGTGGTTGCTTGTTTAACCATCAGACCAAAGTCCGCTGGTAATCTGAGGGCAAACTTGTTGACCTTAGAGAGTTCAGTTGGAACTAAATGAGGAAATAGCTTCATCTTTTCTGTATAACTAGCAGCGTATTCAGTAACGCTCATCTTGCCCTTCTTTAAATTCTGGAACTCATTATTAATTTCCAGAAGATCCTGCTCTGAGCAGTATTGCAATTTCAGCTGTACCACAAAATCTTCCCAAGATATCTTGCTAGCTTCTCCCTTGGGCATCGAATCAGCTAGTAACTTCCACCAGCTCAGTACACCAGACTTTAACAGAGGAATTGCAAGTGCGGTCTTTTGTTTGTTGCTGCACTCAGCTTTCAAACATCGTCTCCATCTCGAAGATCAAGTTCATGACTTCCACCGGTGTCGTACTTCCAGATAGACATGTTGGTTTAGATGCCATGAAATCTTTATATTTGCATTCGCGTCCATCAATTCCTCCATCCTGGTTATTTTGTCTAACTATCGGTGGGTTGGCTTGACCAAGAGTCCCACTGTAGTTCCCTCCTACTGATTGCCCTTCATTCAATACGGGCTGTTCAACAGGTATCATAGTTTCTTCCCTATTCTGTTGTAGTAATCGCCTTGTCTCCTCCATCTGGCGATCTAACATCATCTGCATCATTGCTTGTACCCCAGCCATCATCATTGGCTCAAGTGCAGCTCCTACAACAGGTACTTGCTCAACTACTTGAGGTTGAGGCTGTTGATCCCTGTTTTCGTTTGCATTTGCAACTCCACTACGAGTTCTTGCCATTACAATCTATATACCGAATAAGGAGAATTTAGGTCTTTATCCTCGATAGGTATTTAAATTCCGTATCACTCCGAAACGTTTACATGTGAGTTCTAATGTCGTAATCGTACGCCTAGAATCCTACACACATAAGGTTTCCAGATCCGATCGGCAACAGACCATAGATCCGAACAATTAATGGCATATATGGCAAACATATAGCATTTAGCACATAAAAGCATTTTAGGCATCTTTCCTAAAATAAACTAGTGCTCGTGTCTAAAATATGGTAGACACTCATCTCACAATCATCACTTAGCATTCTAAGTTTAAGTCTAGAAATCCTACAATTTCTTAGTTCGCTTAAACTAATGCTCTGATACCAACTGTGACATCCCCTAATTTCTCGGCCAGAAAAGACCGATTTAATTTATGCTTTTTAAAATAAAATCAGATAAATCTTTTTAAAAGATGTTGCGGAATTGATCCCCAAAACAAAACATGATAAAAGTTTATCAAAACCTTCTTTAAGAAATGTATAGTTTCATTTCATATCAAAACCTCGGGATGTCATGTTCCGATACAGATCAAAAGCATAAACAAGACATTATAAGTCTTTCAACAGTTATTTACAACTACTGGCCTATAATCCAAAAATCTTTCATCGTCCTCCGACTATGCTCGGGGTCCACTACCTGTAACATAAAAAGCTGAGTGGGTCAGGCTTGGCAGCCTGGTGAGCATATAGGGTTTTCAACCCACAGTAATAATAAACTTATTAAGTTCACCAATCAACAATAACCCTGATTACCCGTTCCCGTTATCCTCACTTTACGTCCCTAAACACGTATCACAAGGGACCTAGCCTAAAGAATATCATCGGGAAGGACACTACTGCTAAGGGGTTTCCTCAGCCATACATGTCCTAAAGGCAACCATGAGGGGGATGGAGTACAACGAATTAACACTCTAGTTCATTACACCTACAGGTTGCGGGCCTGCCAGTGTTCCACTGGACTGTCTAGAAAGCCCGTGGTCGTCATCCAAACTCCGCTAGATGACTGGATCTCAAATCACATCGAGGCCTCTCATCACTTTTATTTTATCACACATCACTATCTACCCATGTTTTACCCAACATATTTGTAGATAAAAATACATATACAGTTTAAAACTTGTATAAAACATCAATTCAACAATCAAGTGAGTGTATAGTCACCTTCACCCCTCTCACAAGAACCTGTGAAGGGTGACTTTGTCATTTTTCCAAGTAAGCATGATTCGCAACTATCATCTGAGGGCAAGTTTTGTAAACTATCATCTGAGGGTATAAGATCCAACTATCATCTGAGGGTTGGAACTAAAGTTTTAATCAAGACTTTACTTGTTCCAAAACTTGAGGGCAAGTTTTGTAAACTTCCAAAACTTTTCATTTCTTATAACTTATGAATTAATTGAGTAATAAAAATGAAGACTCTTCATTTTTATAACTCTTGTGTTCTTTTAATGGATTTAATAAAAGTGAGGCTTTTGGTTTTCCATAACTTGAGGACAAGTTATGGACTCCATTAAAACACATTATGATCATGAATTAAACTACCATGAAGGTTACAAACAATTCCTATGATCATCTAATCTTCATAAGTTCAAGAACATGAATATGAACACTTTCAAGAATCAAAAATTACACTTAAAAAAACTTGTAATTTTGATAATTGCCATTGTAAATGGATTAGTATAAACATTACACCATCTAAAACAAGTTTTAAAACACCAAAACAGTTTAGGGTAATGTTTCTAGTCCATTTCCAGCAACAAATGTCGAAATTCTGAAAACTGCAGCCTCTACTCGTCGAGTGCAAGAACAGACTCGACGAGTAACTTGCACAAAAAAAAACAACAAACAAACCTGGCTCTGATACCACTGATGGTTTTTGAGCATTCTAACACTTCCTAAGTGTACATGCAACCCTAATAACCTTGGATCTATGTTTGTCTAATTATCATGCAAAGTTGAATTCCAAGGTTATATTCCTATCTAGCATACATGAGGAACATTTTTAACTTGAATGAAAGATAGAATAACTTACCTTGTTGTTGATTATGATCCTTGAAACCTTGTGAGCCTAGCACCCCAAGTGTGATGCCTCAAATGCTTCACACAACACCAAATGCAAAGGAGTAAACTTTGAGAGAATCTTACACTTGCAAAATCGGCTCTAGCCCTCTTGTTTCTTAGTGTCGCCGATTTGGTGGAGAACATGTTGCTTATATAGTGTGTCACATCTAGGGTTACACCATGTAAACCCTAATGTGGCATGACTCTTCATTTCCATGACCCATGGGTTTGTAACTCCCATGGAGCCTCCATGGAGCATTCAATGGGTTTAACCCAACTTGATTATCCATGGAGCCTTTTAGCACACTATACAAGTTATGGATGATTTACATGATCAACCCATATATTTAACTAGTCATCTTTTGATCACTTAATTAATCCTAGATTAATTCTTGATCAATACTAATTAAATAATACTATTAATATATTAGAATTTATAATATATTAATAAACCACAAGTGTTATTTCTCTCATTTAGTCTATCCAAATGCATGATGCCATGCAACCCAAATGGACCATGTCGGGTCGGGTCAAGTACATACCAGAAATAGTTATGGACTTAGACACCTTATCCAACAACGACATGTCTGTAGTGGCGTCCAAAGTGGACTACTGCATGCTAGAGCGATATAGTCATGAATATCACCTTTCGCATGTACTTGGTTTCCAAGTTCCGTCTTCATCTTCTTCTGTTCTTGATGCCCCCACCTGGTAAGGTTGGATTTTACCTTCGACATCTTGTGTGTGGGTTACGGTTACCCCCGTCTCGCTTCTTTTTAGAGGTTCTTTGTTATTACAAAGTTCATCTTGTCAAGTTATATGTATGTCATGCAGGTTTGTCTAGCCTTTTTACTGGATTTATCATGAGTTCCTTTGTCTATTCTTTCCCTGGTTGTTGGTAATATCCTGCTATAAATGCTACCTCTAGGTGTTTTCTCTATGCTAATTTATTGTTATAGATGGGAGTAAATGTTCCTTTCAGCTGACATCTTATTTGGTCGGTGATATCCCACCCAAGTCCATAGTGGTGGGTGACGTCGTTCTTGACCGAAATGTGGATCAGATGAATGTGACACCCGAATCGCCCCCTGTGCTCCTAGGTTTTGGGCCGAATGCTTTCACTATCGAGCAATTGTTGGACACATCTAGCCCTATTATTGGTTCTGTACAGGTCGGTTATTCTAGCTCCACAAGAGTTGTGCCCCCCGTAGGTGTCTCTTCCAGTCGAAAATGTAGGCTAGTCCTTTCGTCTGATCAATTTGATCAGTTTCTCCAGGAGATTTCCCATGTGGGCCCTCAATGCGTCTCTCCCTTGTCCTCTGGTTGTGTGGCCCCCAAGCCAGTTGATATGTAAATGGATTGGCGTGCGTCACGTATTTACATTTATGATGTGTGTTGTTCGTGATTACTTTGTTCTGTTAACACCGTTTTCCCAACATCGTAGGTGGATTTCCTTCTTGTGTATTGCTTGAGGAAGAGTTGAACGAAGCATGCCTGTTTATACCTTGTGCGGAAAAAATTATCTTCGCCGTACTCGGGCGAGATCTCAAATTTTTTGATGGGTTATTAACTTTGCGAGACCGGTTTTTAGCCGCAAGGGTGAATGTACGTGTTGTCGAAGGCATGAAGCTTGCAAGAGAGGAAATGTTGGTGAAAGTGGGAGAGATGTATGCTGACTTATCAATACGTTACCGGGATGCTGCGGCCAAGGTAACTTCTCTAGAAAATCAAGGGACGCTCGTCCAGGCGAAGTATGAATCTTGTCTCCAGGAGAACGGCGTGTTGTGTTCTCATCTCCTTAACAAGTCTTGATTGTGTAGGATATGTGAGTCGGTTATGCTCTGTTTTTGTAGGCAAGCCTGAACTTGGTGTTTCGCTTCTATGCCTAACCAATTTTGATTTTAGGTAGATATCTGGGTTGATACTTGGTGCCAACTAACATGTTTTTTGGGTATTTTGGTGTGTAATGGATATATTGGTGTAGTCGGCAGACCAAGCTATATAGTTTGAAGAATAAGTGTATTCTTGGGCTAAACGGGTAGCCTTTTTTCGAGTAATGATACTCGATGCATGCATAAATGTAGTCGGTGTTGGATGAAATAGGGTTTATGTTGGAGATCTGGATACCTCTTGGATCGTGTGAACACTTTCCGAACTGATATTTACATAATGAAAATATCGAAACAATTGAATTTCCACTTAGTATCATACACTTGCAAATACTCGAGAATCAGGGTGTTCTAAGAATTGAACCCATCAACCCATTTGAATACCAGAATGTAAAATACATACTAGTTTATAGAATTTCTAGCAAAATACAACTTGACGCTATTATAAAGCCGTGTGTCCCAATCCTCTCATGATCGTATCAAGGTCAAGTCCACAACCTCTTGAAATGCGACTACACTTCACAATCACGTAGGTAACTCCTTTCCATGTATCTGGGATGAATACTTCATGTGTTCCAATCTATAAGTATGAGCTTTCCACATTGAATTCAACTCCTAACATTATCTTAGGAGGGAATTAGGTGTCTCATCATTATAGAATTAAATGGACTTTAATCTCATCTCGATCACATACTTGTGCACTAGTCTCTTGTCAGACCTTTAATCAAGTGATCTGCCAAATTTTGTTGCGATTTCACAAACTCAACCGAAATCACACCGTTCATGATTAATTCTCTAATCATACTATGTCTAACACCTAGGTGTCTAGACTTGCCATTATACACCTGGTTGTATGCCTTAGCCAAAGCATCTGCACTATTATAAAGGATAGAAATAGGTGCTATCGGTTTAGACCACAAAGGAATCTCATAGACTAAATTCCTTAGGCACTCTTCTTCTTTACCAGCACCTGCTAACGCAACAAACTCATATTCCATTGTTGAGTTTGTAATGCAAGATTGCTTCTTGGAAGCCCAAGAAATGGCACCTCCCCCAAGCAAGAATATCCAACCAGAAGTTGAGGAATGGTCCTCCATGTTGGTTATCCAACTTGCATGAATGACCTTCTAAAACCGAAGGACTCCCCAAGTAACTCAAAGCATAATTCATGGTTCCTTTGAGATACTTAAACACTCTATTCACTGCTTGCCAACGTTGAGCACTAGGATTACTAGTGTACCTGCTCAACTTTCCTACAACAAAAGCAATATCAGGCCTGGTACTTGTCATGGCATACATCAAGCTACCAATATGTGACATCCCCTAATTTCTCGGCCAGAAAAGACCGATTTAATTTATGCTTTTTAAAATAAAATCAGAGAAAATCTTTTTAAAAGATGTTGCGGAATTGGTCCCCAAAACAAAACATGATAAAAGTTTATCAAAACCTTCTTTAAGAAATGTATAGTTTCATTTCATATCAAAACCTGCTTGCTCGTGGGCTCGCACGTTGTTGCGCATGCGAGGGGCTCGTTGTCCTCTTCTAAGTGGACCGAGGTCTAGTCCGAAGTAGGGTGGGTTCGTGGCTCATTACGAGGCTCGGACGCACGAGGGAAGGGGCACGCGTCACGCTTCTACTGGACCGCTTCGGATCAGCTCTCCTGTTCGGATGACTCAGCAGCATTTCGGACACGTGACTCGCATGACTCACGAATTTCGGACACGTGGCACTCATACAGCGAAGGTGACGTGGCCGAAGCCACCTATGCGAAATTTCTCGGTTTTCGCGCCAAAACTTCTAAAATCCATAACTTTCGCATACGAGCTCCGTTTTTGACGTTCTTTATATGCACGCGTAGGTAAAATTACGCTTTACAACGTTCGTTTAGACTTCGTTGGCTAATTTTGAATTTAATTTTTATATTATTATTTTTAACAGACCGAGACAGGAAATCCGTTAAAAATTCATAACTTCTTCATCTGACGTCCGTTTTCGTCTGTCTTTTTACTGTTGTGCTACAATTGACGAGACCTTCGATTCTCGTTTAGGTCGTCTCGGCTAAAAATCACTCGATCTAAAATTCGAGTTTTTAGCTGTCTACTGCTAAGCTGAAACTTAGAAAAATCATAACTTCCTCATACGAAGTCAGATTTGGGCGTTCTTTTTATACCTACTCTCAGTTTAACGAACACTACGACTTTCGTTTAGATTACTAAGGCCAAAAAGTAGTTTATCAAAAACTCAATTTTTACGACATTCCGCCCCGTGCCGGTTTTGTCGCGAAACTTCGACAGGTCATAACTTCTTCGTTATAACTCGGATTTCGGCATTCTTTATATATCCGTAATCCTTGTCACGCCCACTACAAGTTTCTTAATGGATATCGGTTTTATCTAATATTTATTTTTGACGCTCATTTTTATTCTTAATTAATTAAATCCTAATAATTAAGCATAAAACACATAATTCACATAATTGCTTTTCCTTTCTTCAAAATGAGTTACAAAGGTTAACCTAGACTATAATGTCAATATTAATGCCTAGCCTAGAAACACGGGCATTACACAATAGCCTTAGAGTATTCCAATTGTGAAATGGGAACGCCATTATTTGGCATTAACTTTACACTTGTATCCATAGGAGTACTCACAGGAGAATAATCGGTAAAGTTAAACTGCTTGAGAATTTTCTCAATATAATGAATTTGAGTCATTACCAAACCTTTGTTCATCCTTTTAATTCTTATTCCAAGAATTACATCAGCCTCTCCCAAATCTTTCATGGAAAACTTAGATGATAACAATTTCTTTGTTTCATCTACTTGATTTTGGTCGGTACCAAAAATCAGCATGTCATCTACATATAAGCAAATGATCACTCCAGCTCTGGTAGCATCATCAAATCTACTATAAACACATTTTTCACATTGGTTTGTCTTGAAACCAGAAGAAAAAATAACCTCATCAAACTTTTGATGCCATTGTTTAGGTGCTTGTTTAAGCCGATACAAAGATTTGACAACTTTACACACCATATGCTCTTTAGCGGGCATAATGAAACCTTCTGGTTGTTTCATGTAAACTTCCTCGTCAAGTTCACCATTTAAAAAGGTTGTTTTCACATCCATTTAGTGAATAACCAGATTGTGGATACTTGCCAAGGCAATCAACAATATAATAGTAGAAATACGTGCAACCGGAGCATACGTATCAAAATAGTCAACACCGAGTTTTGTCTAAAACCTTGAATGAATAACCGGTCTTTGAATTTGTCAATAGTTCCATTAACATTCATTTTCTTTTTGAAAATACATTTTCAACCAAGTGGTTTAGAACCTGGAGGCAAATCAGACAACATCTATGTGTTGTTCTCAAGAATTGATGATATTTCATCATCAATTCCTTCCTTCCAAAAGTCACTATCGCAAGACTCCATGGCCTCTTGATATGTCTTAGGATCATCTTCAATACTATAGCAATAAGAGTATTCAAGATTATTGTCATCCCTTGAACTTTCCACCAAATACAGTTGGAAGTCGGATCCGAAATTTTTCGCAATTTGGCCTCTTTTGCTTCTACGAAGCTCTTGTGGTTCTTGCACATCACCACCATCTTGAGTTTATGAATTTGGTACTTTATTAGTACCAAAAGTCAGATCCTTAGGCCTTTAAATTGATGAAAAACGCATCTCATCAAAAATTGCATCCCGTGATTCGATAACGATGTTAATCGAAACTGAATCATTAGGTTCTATTACATAAAACCTATATGCCTTGGAATGTTCAGCATATCCAATGAATATAAAATCAATTCCACGTTTTCCCAAATTTTTCTTTTTGGGCTCGGTGAGTTTTACAACTGTTCGACATCCCCAAACCCGAAAATAACTTAGATTTGGTTTTTTTGTTGAACCAAAGTTCATATGGGTCTGTTTTGTTCCTTTTATTTGGAACCCTATTTAATAAATAGTAGGTCGTTAACATGGCCTCTCCCCAGACTCCATCACTCAATCCCAAGTATGACAACATCGAGTTTACCGTTTCCTTTAAAACTCGATTTTTGCGTTCGGGAATACCATTCTGTTAGGGTGTGTAAGGTGCTGTGGTCTCATGAATGATACCCACTGATTAGAAGTATGTAGGATCCATATATTCACCGCCCCTATCAGTCCTAAGACATTTAACAGGATTGCACAACTGCAATTCCACCTCGGTTTTGTATATTTTGAATTTTTCTAAGGCTTCATCCTTAGAATGTAACAAATACACATAAGAAAACCGAGTGCAGTCATAAATGAAGGTGACTACATACTTTTTATTTCCTAAAGAAAAAGTGGAGTGAAAATCACACAGGCCACTGTGTACAAGTTCCAAAACAGTCGAATTTCTAGTGACACTAGGAAAGGGCTGTTTTGTCACTTTTGTAAGCACATATGTTTTTCATTTATCAGAAGTCATATCAAAGGTTGGAATTAATCCATCTTTTGACATCTCATGCATCCTTCTAAAGTTGACATGACCTAATCTTACATGCCAAAGCAAAGATTTATCAACATTAGAAGCAGAAGATACAAATGCAGAATTTTGAATAGGTAATAATTTGTCAACAATATTCAAATGAAACATTCTAATATTTAAATATCCAAAGCCAACAAACACCCCCCCCCTTATATAAGATGAAATTATCCGACTCAATAACTTGTTTAAAACCATCAGAATTCAAACAACTAGAACTAACAAGATTCTTGCGAATCTTGGGAACAAACAAAACTTTAAAAAGCCTAATTGTCTTTCCAGAAGTAAATTCAAGAAACATGACACCGGCACCACAAATAGGAATAAAAGAATCGTCTTCCATTTTTAGCACCGATCCATCTTCAAGCGGAGTTAATGTTTCAAACATCCGTTTATCCTTGCATACATG